AGATAATGGAGTGGAGAGAAGAAGACCTGAACTAGAGTGCTTGAGAGACTATGTAGTGTCACATGAGAATTGCTTCGTTAGGAAGGCTCTCCTTTTGAATGGAGAAGCCCAACGTCGCTGATTTGCATCGCCGTTTTCAAGCGCTGATCTGCAGCAGGAATGTTTTTGTAAATTATTCGTAGTTGTGGACGTGGATGGATTCAGCGCTCTGTTCTCTCAGTAAGCCTACTCCAACACGAAGGACTTCCATGAGCGAAACAACGTGCTCCTCGAGCAAGAGCAGCTCGGGGTAATAGGGAGGCTCCGCTCTACGGAATTACATATGAAAATCCGTATGTCGTACGCGCCGGGGAGCGAGGGTAACTAATTTACTTTCATACGTAAATCTCTCTACGGATTTCCGTAGGAAAGCTCTTTCCTACTTTGGGTCCTCCGTAGGACTTTTTGAAATAATTTCGCATTTTCCGGATTTATCCATCAAGCCGCGCGAAACACAAGGTACGCACCCCGTACACCACGTGCAAAACAAAACGGAAAACGGGGTTTCGCCAACTTTCGGTTCGTGGTGCATGCCTTGGGCGCATGCAGCCAACGCATCTCCAAAGCAACAAGGCATGTTTAGCAGTCGTGGAGAAATCACGTAGAGCAAAACCCAACAGCGCTGACTTTTACGTATGAAAATTACGTGCGGTTCCTACGTTATTTTCATATGTAATTCCGTAGAGCGAAACCTCCCTAATATGGCCAATGCCACGGGAGACCACCTCGTGCTTGCACAAGGCCAAGAATTGATGGCAAGAAATCTTTGATGAGCGCCTTCGACTTCAAGGACGCAATATATCTCCTCAGCAGTAACTGCAGCGTTCTTGCTGAAAATATCACTGCAAGCACTAGGCATGATTTAGTGAAGAGCTACTTGTACTAGCGATTGGAGATTTGGTGTTGGCTTCCAGGGCTGGGCATATCTGCTCCATCATGGTAACTGGTGCGTTTGTCAATGCAGTGCAGTTTCTGCCGCTGTTTCACAAGCCATATGCGCAGCGAGTAGGAATTTGTTGTATGATAGCTGAGGATCACCAGCCTTCATGGACAAACCTATATTGTGACTGGTTGCTGAACAGTGCACACCTAAATCCCTCAGCAAGCTCTCTTGCTCAGCTGGTGACGAACACCATAATTATACCCGCTGCTTTGGGCTTGCAGCCCCGTCTCCCGACCGTAGACCGATCGAAAGGCTGTCACGGTCCTGTGACCATGCGTACAGTTGATGCTGATGGGGCATCGGATAAAGTGCTGGCATCAGTAAGTCTCTGATATACCTGGAATCTACATCTACTGCTGGTTTTGACTTCCAACCATCCTTCGTTATGCACAAATACTATACTAGTACTACTACTACTACTATTACTAAGCTTGGTATGCGGGTGTGACGTGCTGCTGCTCATCAGATTCGGTCCATGCGACTCTCGTGTTTTTAGTTTTGTTATTTTGTCTGCCTTTTTTTGAATTTGTAAACCAAACGGACTAAACTATCCAGTGATCAGGCAGGTACTGGTGTGGTGGGGCGAGGTTTTGTTGGTGATGCTGCTGTCAGTGGTGGCGCCGTGCATGTGCTCGTGCTTGCGGGCAATGGCCCGCGTTTTCTCCCATGCCGCAAGTTTGTCTTGCGTTTGTGTTTTGCATTTGGACTTCCTGCCAGGCTTGGAAGGCTTGCATTTCAAACAGTTTGTCCCACTGTGTGGTTCTTAGTCTTTGAGCGGTGTACATCCACCTCTGGAGCTCCAGAGAATTTTGGGCCCCTGGCAGTAGCAGTGTATTCCATGGCCAATTTGCAAGTGTGGCAAAAATGTTCAGGGTGTATTTGGTTCATCCACATTGAGATGAAACACTGCCAAAATGGATTCAGTATGATCTGCCACACGATACTTCGTCCGTCCACTCCTTGACGCGTATTTCTCCCCTCCAATACGACGACAGGATGCTAACATGAGCCTCCATTTCTGAACAAAATAATGTCTCTAAAATGTCCACGAAAAGCTACAGTGATGCACGTCAAGCTTAGGAATACACGAAATCGAAAGGCTAGGACATCGAGGCATACTAGAAAATTGCCTGCGAGGCGGAGAAAATTCGCTGACGAGGAGGTTGGTGAGCCCTTGAAATCGAGCGACGATCCAAAAATAATTGCACCCACGTCGAGAAAGAAACCATGCGTAGCGCGTGGGCAACCCAAGAAGATCGCTCGAGCGGCGGCACAGTCGAAGGCAAGGCCAGTCCAAGCTCTAAACTCTATCGAATGACCTGGCAAACACCCGTGGTTTCGGTTGACCTTGCCCGTTTGAGATGGAAGTCGAGCGAAATTGCAAACATACGACTAGGCCAGGTCGCGTAAAAAATGAAAAAGTTTAATATTTGGCCGCCATATTGAATGAACGCGCGTCGACAGACCTACTACTACTAAGTACTAGTAGACCCAGCGGCCAGGTGCTCGAAGTCCGTACACTTTTACAGTGTGTGTTTGCCGATCTGAAACTCACACTAGCAATGATCACTTGCCAGAATCCTGCTCGTGGATGGAAGGTATCTTGTCCAAGTTTGTTCTGAGGCCAGGCTCGATTGAACCAGGCCATCTTTCGATCCGATCTGTTTCTCTGGAGTTCACTGATTTTTCATATAAAATGTTGGTGTCGCAGAGGGTCCTCTAAGTCCGTACTGATCAGAGGTGACTCTAAATACACACAATATTTCTGCTAATTGCTAACTTGCAATTACAGTCCGTATCGCCTATAAGGTTGGCGGCTATAGTAATATACCGGATATAGTGATCAATTTCTCAAATTCATTTTCATTTGACATAACTAAGTATACGCAGTTATCGCGTATAATAATAATCGTCTATAGTAATATATCGCCTATAGTGATCAAATTCATATTTCAAAAGACCTTTATTACATTATTATTGCATCGGTTATAGTGATTGATGTAAAATTAAGTGATGGCAGAGGAGAACCTTGTGTTACTTCTTCGTGAAGAACTTGTCCAGTGAGTGTTGTTTGGTGAGTTTAGCTCGTACAAGTTGCCAAAATATGCCTCCGTCATAAGGAAATGCTGATTTTGTGTGTCAGGAGCTACAGCCAGCTACATGACATTGTACATGTATGTAGTGCGTATGTGCACGGCGCGCTGAGTCATTTGACACCTCACTCGCATACATTGCATGCAGTATCGGTCATAGTAATATATCGCTTATAGTGATAAAATGCTCAAAATCAAACACCAACGCTATAGGCGATACTGACTGTACTCGGTTACGACGAAAGTACCGAAGGGATATGTTTGGCATGTGCCTCCACCAGAATTATTTCTTGCAAAATTAAAAGCGTAGTTTGTCGCCGAAATGCAAGCTGTTTTTAGTCTGCTCAGAGAAGAAGCGGCTGCGCTGTGAAAACCGCGGGAAAACAGTGGTGGAAATGCCAGGAGTCAACCTTTCTGCAAGGATTGGTGGTTCTTTGTAAATTCTTCTCCCCTGGCCATTCTCAACTCTAAGCTGGCTCTTGATGATTGAGTGAAGGTCTGTTTGACGCTGTGTCCGTTCGAAATCGGTCTTGGCAAAGTTGATTTTTGCATGAAATGTAACCCAAAATTGTATTTCGTATGGACACTCGAAAACCCACTCGCGTGGTATGGGACTTCTGCTTATCGTAGATCCCTGAAAATTGCTACGTGAGGAGAATACCACACTGTCCCCTCCATAAAATATTTGAGTCGAATACAGAACATGGCATTATGGGCGTAAGAACTTAGTTAGGATACCATGTACGGACTTCAAGCACCTGGGTACCGGGTCTACTCGTACTGTTCCTATTTTCCGTCGTGTAGATTTGTAGGTCCATTTTAATCTACTTACCATCGCAGACAGGTAGATCTAGTACTGTCGTGGACATGGAAATCCAGTCGCTTTGACTGGGGCCGGCGCCCTCAGCGCGTACAGAACATGATTGTTTGTAGTCGTTGCATGCAGTGCACAATCATGTTGATCCTGCTGGCCTATGCGACCAGCGCTCAGCAGCTAGCAGCGCATACTCGCGGCATAGTCCATCGGCCAAGTCTCAAAATCGAAAGTGGTGATGCACTGAGCTTCCAAGTAAACGCGACCATACCCAGCACGTAGAGAATATCAGAGAACACTGTTCCGTTTGTTGGACGTGCCAGTCCAGGGCGTCAATACGAAGCGTTCTTCGTCGCCGAGTTTTTTTACTGTGCGCTCCATTTGAGAGTGCGCAGAGTTCTGATCGAGAGTTTTATGAGCAGATTTTCAAATTTTTGAGGCTGTCAACTCTAAATCTGTCCCTGCGGGAATTTGCGGAAAAAGTCCTCGAAAACTTGCGCAAGAAATTGCGGCAGAAAACAACAAAAAATGCGGCGAAAAGTGCGGAAAGATGCAGAACTTGCCAGGAACTCGCGGAATTATTGGCAGGAAATTCCGGATTTGGGCCAAATCACGAAATTTGTTGAATCATTAGAATCAGGGAGTAGTACAATACCTTATTGTACTACTCCCTGATTAGAATTGCAATTTGCGTACTGTGCAAATGACCTACGTACAGGATCATGAAAACATGTTTTTCGATTTTGACAGCATGTTACAAGGCGAGGACGCGTAGTGCTCCTGACTACAACCATACGAAAAACATGTTAACTACCAAGCAAGGCTTCTGTATAGGATCATGAAAAGCACTGTATACTGTACTGCGTGAAAAGTGAAGAAAAATGTAAAAAGAAGTGCAGAAAACAACAAAAAACGCGGGAAATCGCGGAACTTTCAGAAATTCGCGGGTTTTGGCCAAAATCGCGAAATTTGTTGCATCCGTGGAATCGCGATTTCCTGGAGGGACAGCTAAATGGCCCTTTGCTTAGTATGTGACAGGCCTTATGCAATACACGTCACAGGCTGCAATCTCCATAGTAACGGTGCCCCGCTGAGCTCATCATGAGGGACTGAGTGGCAAAAAACTAATTTTTGAACTAACTTGAGAAGCAGCTGCTGATCTGATTATTAATGAGGGAGGAGGCATTTTTTGTTTCGTTGTGGAAGAGTCATTCCTTCTGCAGTTTTGCTAGTACGATGGTCAAAAGTTGTTGTGCTGTTGGCTGCAGTAACCGGTCTAAGGTTGGTTCGGTTGTCAGTTTCTACCGCTTTCCGGCAGACCCTGTCGTCGTTGTCATCGCATCGACATGACAGACCCTGTGAAACGGAAGAAGTGGACTGTAGCTGTTCGTCGTGACAAGTGGTCACCAAATCAAAACACTTGGCTGTGCTCTGCACATTTTGTTGGTGGAAAGAAGAGTGATGACCTGTGGAGATCCCTGTGGAGAGCAGCGATAGGACCGACTCAGCTAGTCCAAACACCGGTGGTAAATGCTGTCATCACGAGTCAGAATTCGATAATTTGAAATGTGAGAACTTGCTGCTGAGAGAGGAGGTGAAGAAATTAAGGTGGCTCGCGCCTATTTCTAAACTCGTCTTTTGCGCAGGTTCTCGCGCATCCTACGTTCGAGAAAAGACATGCGGAGTTGGCGTAGCGAGCCTGTAGCGCACTCCAGTTTCGAAGGGTCCAGCTCGAGCAGATGGCCTGATATGAGTACGAAACTCTCGTACTCGAGTCTAGAGTGTGAGCTTTTTTCTTCTTTATTTTCACTCCTTCCCTTGGCTACTTTTTTTGAGGTGCATTTTTTACTTGTGGAAATTGTCACCTGTCAGAGAAGTGTTGGGATGTCCCTTCCAGCAGGCACTGCCCATGCCCATGGTCGGCTTCGGAAAAAGAGTAGAATAAAAGCGTTGGAGTCTATGTGGATGTCTTGGAAGGAATGGGGGACGGCACAGACGGGTACGTGAATGTGTAAAACCTGAGTATTTTGTATTTTCGTTGAATTGGTTCAAGTGACTTGGCGAGTCCCTTCCACAGTAGAACGCCATCCTTCGCAAAATTTGTCTGACTATTTTGTCAAGAATGGCCGTTCTATAATGATAAATCGACTCTGAAGCCAGTGGATTGTGGAGGTCGCCCTTGAATATAAATTGAAATGGTCACGAATGTACGAAAGTATTTTTGATTCGAACATGTACTGGACAACGTGGTTGCATTGTGTCAGTAGAGGGTACTACTGTAGTATCTCACTATTTCTTTATGGTAATCGCTGTCCACCAAGAACTCTCCTAGATCCTATAGTTATTGCCACGGCTTGATCACAGCGGTACACTGAGTTTTTGTTGAGAAATTCCTTCAATTTATTGTCTTATCACTCTGACTAGACTCAGTGCTTGAGCGTTTTATTTAGGATGCATTTTTTAGAGATTGATATTTACCAGTATGTGTTTCACATCACTCCTGACGAGAATAAGCATTTGAAAGCAACACTGGCTGACAGCAATCATGCTCCCTAGGCTCAAGTGTGTGTGTGTGTGTGTGTGTGTTACAAGGGTGTGCATGGCAATTTGGTAGAGTATGTGTGAACACAAAGTCCACTATATATTCACAAACTCAAGTACATCGCAAAATTGTGCCTTCGTATCGCATATTATGCCTTCATAACTTTGACTAGCCCTAACCTGCTGTCTGACAGGTGTGTCATTGGTGAATGTACATGTATACTGTCTCCCTTCACAACTACGTGCATGTAACACAATATTTACAGTGCACTTGCAGTGTATATAGCTAGATCAATGCACAGTAATCAGTAAATTGTGGCTGCCTCTGTCACATTGTCATATTCACATTCTAAATCATCGAAAATGCCCAAACCGATTTCTACGTGTGCAGAAGAAGATTGAACACATTCTTTCCTTGAATCTGCGCCTTGATCCTTGAAGGATGATGGCGTTCCTACGGATGCGGAAAACTCGGCCTCTAGCCGAGTCTGACGCGAACCGAACCGTGAATTTTTTTCCTTGACATTGGTTGATGGCATCAGTCACATCTAAGAGTGACACTCTATCTCAAACATGTTTACGCAAAGAAGTAGTAATCTTATCTTCATTGGAGCGATGGTCTGCAGGCGTGCGATCATGTGTGTGCCTTGTGTGTGTGTGTGTTTAGTCACTGTTTACACGCACGTTTGTGCGTGTGTGTGGTGCGTGTGTGTGTCTGGCCTGGTATGAGGTTGCTCAGGATAGGTCTGCCTGGCGGGTGGACTGTCTTATCTGCCATCGGTCGTTTCGCCAGCCAGGTGACAAACAAGGCGCAAATGTGGCGCAGAGCAAAGTCTCCCCATCCAGGATCAGCGTGGTGCTGTGCAGTGTGGTACATGCAGAAGGTGGTTTCACTCTCGTGGTGGCCTGCGCGTGCATCATTGTTTGCCCCTGGAACCATCGAAAGTGTCCGAGCCGGCATCATCTATTCCGCTCAGCGTCCATGCTTCTCTCTTGTGTTTGACATGCAATCGGCAATTCAAGTCAGTGCCTGGTTTCAGACGTCACATGTGCGACCGTGGCCATCGGGCAACCAAGTCTGACAGAGCGTCATATTGTGTCCGCTGTTCTCGCTGCAGCCGTCAGTTCCGTCGACAGAGTGACCTGAGTCGTCATCTCCATTTCTGCTCCTGACAATGACTCCGGCTTCTTTCGGAATGGTGTGGCCCTTGGGCAACCATGCTACAGTAGCAGTAGTAGTAGTGTGTGTGTGTGTGTGTGTGTGTGTGTGTGTGTGTGTGTGTGTGTGTGTGTGTGTGTGTGTGTGTGTGTGTGTGTGTGTGTGTGTGTGTGTGTGTGCGTGTGTGTGTGTTCTGCCTCGCCTAATAGCTATCATCACCTTCGGCGATGGCCTTTCCAAAGGTCCAAAGGTGTGTGTGTGTGTGTGTGTGTGTGTGTGTGTGTGTGTGTGTGTGTGTGTGTGTGTGTGTGTGTGTGCATGTGTGTGCGTGTCTGGAGCGCCACCGGGTGGCGTGCTCTTTCTCTCTCTCTGCTGCCCTTCCGGGGCCCACGTGACCCTAGTGGTAGTGGCTCGACAGGACAGGTGTGTGTGTGTGTGTGTGTGTGTGTTTGCATGTATGCGTGTGTGTGTTTGCATGTATGCGTGTGTGTGTGTGTTTGTGTGTGTGTGTGTGTTTGTGTGTGTGTGTGTGTTTGTGTGTGGTATGTGTGTGTACACTGGTGTCTATGTGTATTGCAGGGTTAGGGTGGGCTAGTAGAGAAGGGTAGATGTATATGGACGTGTACATGGGATATGTAGTTGTGCATGTACTTGTAGCAAAGCTAACTTATCAAAAAGGCATTCTGCGCCTATATGGCGAAATTGAGCATTGAAGCATATGTTTTTTATTTTCTCATTGGCATGTACACAGTTAGTCCATTCAATAACCAAAAAATGAGGAAGATTGTAAATCAGGTTCTTGATGAAATACCCGTCCGCTATGCATCACAAATCCTGTACAAATTTGACAATTTAGTGAAATTGTCATCGCCTATATCTCAAAAGTTAGCATTGAGACCCCGTTTTTTTAACTCGCCATTTGCATACACTACCTAAGACCAACCGCCCACCAAAATTTCAGAGCAATCGTTAATTTCTTTGAAATAGGCGTGAGCCACCTTAAGGGCCCAAAACCCAACTCTCCGTGGTGGAGCAGCACTTTCTGAGAACGATCTGATATGTAATGATGACAAGGTGAAGCTCTACACCGGATTGCCAACGTACGCTGTGCTCATCACTGTTTTTGAGTTTGTTTCCAGCGACGTTGAGCGTCACCACCGCTCGGCAACCTCATTGTTCACGCTGTTCTTGATGACGCTAATGAAGCTCCGCCTGAACTTAAATGATTCTGACCTTGAGTATCGTTTTGGTGTGGCCCAGAGTACCGTGTCGAGGTATGTGCTGAAGTGGGTGAACATTATGTATGTGCGTATGAAGCCACTTGTAAGATGGCCAGATCCGGGTGATCTAGGCAAGACAATGCCGCCAGAGTTCGCCAAGAATTTCAAGAAGTGTGTGTGCATCATCGGCTTCGAAGTATTCTGCTAGCGTCCCTCTGATCTGATGGTGAGAGCGCAGTCATACTCACATTATAAATCGCACAACACGATCAAGTTCCTCATTGCCATTACACCGCAAGGTGTAATATCGTTCATCTCACAAGCCTGGGGTGGGAGGACATCGGATAAGCACATCACCGAGAATTGTGGCTTTCTGGAGAAACTCCTCCCGGGTGACCAGGTACTGGCAGATAGGGGCTTCACTGTACAAGACAGCGTAGGTCTGTACTGTGCTGAGCTTGTGATCCCACCATTCACGAGAGGGAAGAGCCAGTTGTCTCGAATTGAAATTGACAAAGCGAGACGGCTCTCCCGAGTCCGGATTCATGTTGAGCTTGTGATTGGTGTGCTACGCAACAAGTATACACTGTTGCAATCCACATTGCCGATCAACCTCCTCATGCGTGACAGCAGTGATGCAAACATTGCTGTCATTGACAAGATTGCCACTGTGTGCTGCGCGTTGTGCAAATGCTGTGAGTCAGTCGTGCCTTTGGCTTAGCAGGGATGTATCCTTAGCTCTGAGACAAAGCCAGAGCTGGATAGCTGGATGTGTATAGTAGTGCTTGCTCCATCTCCGGACAGCTAGCTGTTTCGACTCCGTGAGGGCTCATCATACTAACCTTTTTGCATCAAACTTCATGTCAAAGTCCTTCATAAAATCCCCATCTCTCTCTCTCTCTTTCTAATTTTGTATGCTTCACCCTGACTGTCATGTATGATTTCTTCCTTTCTTGGTCTTTTAGTGATGGCTTGGACAATTCACTTGTCCAGGCGATAAGGCAGTCTCTCTCTCTCTCTTATCTTTGCATGCTTTACCCTGACTCACATGTACTATTTCTTTCCTTTATTGGTCATGCAGTGATAGCTTGGACAATTCATTCGTCCAGGCAATAATGCAGCCTCTCTCTCGCTCTCTTTGAGAATGCGTGAGTATGCGGTAGAGTACGCATATGAGACCAGAAGTGTGCACGTGCGTACATGCCAGAAGTGGGTGCTGTAACGGAACGCGACTCCAACTGCACAACGACCCAACCCCAACCAGGCACAACCACAGCCAATCCAGGGGAATACAGGGATACAGATAATAATTATAGCATTACCAAATTATAGTATAACGAACGTTGCAGTCCAAGAGAAATCTGAAGAAGATCGAAAGGAACTCGCCAACTACTACCTCGAGCCCGGAACATTTGCATCTCCGGAACTAACTCAGGTCCACGTGCTCATGCACGAGGTCACAGGAAACGTGCATAAGACAGTTGGACAAAGCAGCAAGTACTATGGCTGTACTAAAGAAATAAAGACGTCATATGTAGAACCAGCAGCAGAATGATCCGCACACAGCACGTACCGTAGCATACAGCTCGCAAGCATCAGCATGACTCATGAGTCAGCCACACAGCTAAGCATGCACACGCTAACTCTTGATGCAAGACACAAAGGCCAAGGGAACAAGCACCAATGCAATACAACAGAAACATGTAAGCATACCAACATGGTGAAGATAGCTGACCCAATGCTAAATAAATAACATTGTCACAGCAGCTGTAGGGACACTTAACCTCCACTACACCGTTGCCACAGCAAGCACAAGACACAACACCATCTGGGCTGGCACCAAGGTAAGGATAGTCGCTACGGACCACAAGACCACTGTCACAAAGCTGAAATGCCGTATGCTTCTTGATCACATGTACCTTGTAGGCATCCCTGGCAATTTGCTCATGTTCACATCCCCACGTTGTTGCTTTGGATGTAAACTTCATACTCTGTGGGTAGCAAATTGCCTTCACCAGTGATACAGAAGGTTGATGGGCGTCACTGTGGGAAGCGGCTTTAAACTTTGAGGCAGTGATGCGACCCGCACGGTACATAAACCACAAGTCTGACTTTGCTTGCTCGCGCGTTGCTCGTTTCATTGCCATGCACTCATCTGGTGTCACAGAAATTGTCGAGAACACTGCATCACATCGGTCAAGCAAGTCAGTGTAATTGGCTGAGACCATCGACTCCTCATACAAGTTGGACAGTGGTGCAGGAATATCAGATGGTAGCTTTGAAACATATGCATCTGCGTAAGTTGGCACGATGGACAGCAGGGCTGGCATTGCCACCTCGGACAATTTGCTGTAAAATCCATCCAGTTCTGACGTTGTTGGTGCACTGGCCGAAATAACAGGAGGAGATGTTGGGCTGGGTAAAGCAGCAGACGACTTGGATGTCTTTGACTTCTTGCTGGGGGAGGTGAAATCCATATAAGCTATTCTCTTGTAGTCAACTGACTTTATGGACGGTGGCAACCACACACATCCCTTTGATGTGCAGGCGTTGTCAGACACAAATTTAGTGTGCGATTCCAAGGCAAACAATAAAGCAGCGATGTGGGCGCATGCTTCACTCAGCCCCGCTTTGCAGGTGCAGTGGGCGCAAATAATAGTGCCATTGTGTTCTGCAGCTATCCACGGTGTGAGAGGGTCGCTGCTGACTGACTGGGAGTGTCTCACCTTTGCTTTCACAACTCTCTTTTCATGATCCGATGTCGCCTCGTACGCACTCACATCTCCCAGTCACCCTGCCACCAAGAACTTGTGACCGTCGAGACTTTTATATGCCTTCAGTTCTTCCTTCGTTACCGGGCTAGGGGCTGTAATTAAGTAGTTGTACAAATCCGGATATTCCACTAGAGGAAGCAAGTCTGACAAATGATCGCCTTGATGGCCACTGATGCAGTACGGGTCTTTCGCTCCCTTCGCGATCAAATTTAGCTTCTCGTCGTACCTTTTCTTTGCAGCCTCATCCAACTTCTTGTACTCTGATGAAAACTCCACTACCTCGCTTTGCTCGCCATCCATTACTAACTGCTGCCTTCTTCTTCTCGTCTTGAATCTCTTCCGCCCAAACTCAGTGGTTTGACCGTTTGTACTTTCAAACTCAAAACTCTCAGCTGCTCTCTTTTGCCACTCAGTGACTCTGCAGCCCCCTTGGCCGCGCGATCCGTGACGTTATTGGATATGGGTTTTGGTGCCTCCGTATGCCTTCTATCTTCCTTCGTTTCACTTCGCTGCTTGGCCCACCACCTCAGGAGATGACAGCGTACCTACACTACTAGTCAGCTCTCGCTAACCCTGTCTCTCTTACTCCGTCTTAGCGCTCGTCATTCGTGTCCTTCTGATGGGGCGAGCTTGATGCTGTTGTGTCGTAGTTTTTAGGCTATTATATTTTAAAGTGGCTGTTGTTCGCGTGACGATCAAGATTTATGGAGAAAGACGACGACTCGCCAAGTTCCCATGCAGCCACAGACGGCGTAGAGATTCTTACCGCCAACCCTTCGACTGTTCGAGCAACGGAACCGGCCTGTGTTGGAAATCGTGTCTGTGTAATTGTGCCACGATACGGATGAACCACACAGGCTCACATGTGACGAGATGAAGATATTCTCAACAGACTGGCGGAAATCCAACAGGCTCACAGGAACGCTGCAGCTGTGGTCGGAGACGCGGAGTTATTTAGTCACTGGTAAATGTTGCATCGAGTGCTGTGTGCTCTAACACAATTGTAAAAATCATGAAAAAGCGAAAATAATGCAATGGTGGGGCTGAGTGGTGTTCTGTGGAGGAGACGTCACTGTCTCAGTATTCAAAGCCGGACCCTGTATTTCAAGTCTGTGGTCATGCTCGATCATAAGTTCCTGTATGGCTCCAGTGCCTTCTCAGCATTGTTGGCGGGTAAGCACCTGGATCGTGTCCAAGTACTGCGGCTCTGGTGGCTTGAGGGATGTACGGGTGCTCGCCGTGCGCCCCTGCCGGCAATCTGCTAGTGAAGCTTGGTACCTACTAGTACTGTGTCAGGGAGATTTTCATCCAGAAGCTGATCTTCCTAGGCTGGAGCTGCTGCTACTCCTGTGCTAGCCCTCAACCACTGGCGCTCCTACTCGGCTCCAGTGTGGGCCATTAACCACCCTGCCCGATTTCGCACTGTTGCTATTCCACAGTAACACCGTCAGCATTTAACTCTGAGGTCAGACCTTGATCCCTCCCACCATATGCTATCTGTCTGTCTGCCTCTCTCTCACACACAGATGTGCGCGCATACACACACAAATGCACATGCAGACACACACCTTCCTTTCTTCCTTCTTCCACTGCCATGACTGGCTATGTGGCCCCATACGGGGCAGACCAGGAGACGTGTTGTCGACCGGGCGGGGAACGCCATACTCAGCGCGCGCGGGCCGCGCGAACAGCGTTACACTTGTGCCTCGCAATATCCTGCGGCCGACGAAAACTGCGCGCACAAGTGCCACAGAGGAGGGGCTTCGCCACAGGCCCCATGCGGGACTGGACAATAGCGTCGACAGCATCACGGCAGGTGACCCGCCATCCCTGTCGATCTTGGACGATGTCACCAAGCTACTCCAGAGGAACGCCAACAGCCATCAAGTCGCACTTCGCGGAGTCCTTCCAGCGCTTACGGGGTCCATGCGGTGGACGTTTGGAGGGTAACGCGCCGTACAGCAGCTGACGAGGGATCCGATCTTGCATGCGGGACACGTGGCCAAGCCATCGAAGTCGGCGGACTCTGACTTTATCCGCGATCTCCTCCATATCGCCCCACATCCTGCGAACCTGGAGAGAGGAGATGTGCTCCTCGATCTGCCGGCCACGATTTATCTTCAGGATAGAACGCACGCACTGCAGGTGAAAGGACTCCAGGCGACGGACATCACGCTGCCTGACGGTCCATCTCTCAGATCCATAAAGAAGGACCGCCAGGACAGTCACTCCATACACGATGCGCTTGATGGCGATGCTGAAGTCATCACTGTCGAAAACCGACTCCCGCAGTGTACAGAACGCACCCGATGCAGCAGCAACTCGCCGAGACACATCAAATGAGCTCGGGGCGTCTAGCGTAACATGACAACCGAGATAGTGAAAGGCCTCAACGTGGTCAACAACACCATCCAAAGGGGTCTGGTCGGCATCCACAATACCAGCCCCAGCCGCCATGAATGTGGCAATGTGGCCATGCATACTAGAGATCAACATGGAAAAGAAAAAAACATTACTCAGTCTTCTATTCATTAGTTGACTTCTTTTGTAAAAAACATTCATCGCCAACTTGATTAGTTTGAGTTACCTTTGAAAATTATCGTGTTCAACTGTCTTCGTAATCGTCATACTCGTACAACCGATTTCACCCTCACCCTGCGAATAATCAGCTCATCTCTCCTGCAGCTCCACCTCTTCTTCCACCCATGATGACCGAACATCAACTATACTTCAATTTATTATTATTATTAGAGCAATATCCATAGCCAGCTAGCCTGCACTGTCATGGCTGCTAAAATCCAGAGGTCATGACTTCGTAACATGCACATAATGTGCATAATTATACATGTACGCGGAGTTTTGCGGACTACCGGCCTATACCCGTCACTATCTCGTCCGCCCCAGGATACATGAAAAAGGCTGATTTACTTGCATCTTCTGCTACATGTGCTATATCAGTGTGAGAAAGAACTAACTTACTTTGAAGAAGACGAGTTCGAGCATACAATAATGTATTGCCATGATTTCTACCCTGCTTTTCATTGCAAACACTGTCTGCATTAGGCCTTGACGGATTATGCTAGCATAATTTTTCGCATAATTCCTACCAAAATTGAATAATCGCATAATTCGAGGCAAATTGCATACGAATCGCATAAATGGGAATAATCCGCCTGTTCGCATCAAATTCCATACAGTTGTACATGTTCTACAAGTACAAGTACAAGTTGATGCACCAGGAAGTCGTACATGTAGGTTTACGACTCCCTTTTAAATAACATGTCCAGTCCACTACAATCAGTGACGGTCGTAGCTAGGTCGGACGGTGCGTTGACCCCGTTGAACT